CAAAAAACAGCGTCAACTCGTTCTTGTTGAAGAATGGGATTCCGTTTCATATAACGAAACACGATTGCTTATTATGTTTAAGAAACATAAGGCCCTCTGCGAGGCCAGAGGAAATAATACATCTTTTTAAGTACTAAGTAATAAATTGTTAGAGTTAATGCTAGCTTTGGTCTTCGAAAAGGTGAACCCATGCTGAACCGGCAATGTCTTGCTTTATTGTGGTCCCAGTTATCACTGAAGATGGTGGAATGCCGAAACGAGTTCGAGTAATTCAACACACCCACGAATGAAGATGGACCCAATAAGTGACCCGATAAACCTTATGAATTTCTGGTCTCGTTTAATGCTGTTTACATTAAAATAAGTATGTTGTAATTTATGTACCTACAAAAATACATATAGTTTGAAAAAAATACGAATGTCCAGTTTTGTTTGTTTTTGATTGTATTTTAAAAAATCCTTTTCATCGGACAGAAACGTTAATTATACTCTGAAGTGAACCAGTTTGTTACAATTTGGCCCCGGCGTGTTATGTAATACGAGTTGTTACACAAATCAAATTTCTCTGTTGCAACGTATAGTCAAAAGCACTTTTTAACTAGCAAATTTGAATAATTGTCTGTACGGGTGATGCAAATCCATTTTTTAATCTATAAAAGGTCATAGATTAATATCGAGTAATAAAACGGAACAGCAAGCTGAAAAATGAAGCCAAATATCTAATAGTTACACTACACAAAACACTGGCTTTCATAAAAAAGGAGAATGGTAACAAGTAAAAACTTGTAACCGAGATTATGCTCTTGATGAATAACATGATGGTAAGACCACTCATCACATATGGACAAGATCATCCTAATTAGAGAAAATCCAAGTTCAAGGCTCCCAGATACAAAATTAACACGACGTTTGAATATAAACATAACCTCCAGACAAACCTAAGTACCACAAAGGAGTGGGAATGGAAAAATCCTTCAATCAAGGAAGATGATATATGCACGGCGAAGGAATTATTCTCACTACCCTAGAGTACTCGATATTCTTCGGGGTAATTGGGAATAAAACCTTCCATACACGCTAATAAAGTACATGTACACAGCGCGAATAATTCCCACTACCCCAGAGTACTCGGTATTCCTCGGAGTATTTGGAGGATAAGCCCTCCATTCACACAAATAAATACATTCGACCAATAAATAACCCATTACACATAATAGAAGGTACAAAGATTCTCCATACAATTAAAAATATTTACGGTCCTGAGATATTTGAACAGCGCTCTGATCGCACATAGGTCATTCGGGATGGATTTCTTTCTTTGCTGACTTACGAGGAGGCGACCAGGTTGGTGGGTCACAGATTTGTACCACACTTTTTTGGTGATTCTACACTCCGAAATATCAGACACGTATCCGCCACTTCTTGTGAATAGGCCCTGGTTTCGTCAAAAATTTGAAAGTGGAATTTTCCTTTTTTTAACCTTATTTTGCTATTGTACTTACTCAAATCAACTATGTGAATATATAATTTTACAGCGTTTTTTATGTAAATTGCCATAAATATATAGTAAAAGCTATCAAAGTTTATCAATAACCGAAAATTTTCTAAAAACCAAATTTTTTTCAAATAAAAAACTAAGCCATATATTTTTTTCTTGAAACTAATATGAAATTTAGTTTTAGCACCTCTAGAGACCCGTAAATATACATTTTTTTTTTAAATTTAAATGTATCGATTTTTTGACCCCTAAAATTTTTCCGATTTTTAAGAAGTCGTTCTCGGAATATCTGATTGAACCTGCTATCATTCCATATCGGCTAAAAGTATTTTAACGTCACACATACGATTTAAGAATTTAAGAAAATATTTTTGGCAGAAATTAACCTCGTTTAGAAAAAAAAAAATATCACGTCAATTTCTTTAAAACGAATTATCAACCGTGAAAATCGGTCCACAAGGATTTGAGAAAATTATGTGAGAGCTTGCACTAGAAATATCAGTCAGGCAGCTCGTCGAAATTATCAGGCAAAAAATTAATTTACACCGATTACACCTGAATATACTTTTTTTTTTCATTTTAATTATTCGATTTTTACAACTACAAATATTGAATTAAGCAAATATTTTCTACATGTGCTGAATTTAGAGTTGTTTCACTTGTAAGAGAAGCTGCAAACATCATCATTCTTCACTCATTTAGAATTCTTGGGACCATTTTAGTTTCAATCGTTTTGGAGGATGTTTTGGTAGGGGGGAAGGAAGTCGTACTAGTAGATTATTTTGGATGGTTAGTGATTGATGAAATTTTTTAATAGCTGCTTTTGATGGGGGTTTATGATTTGAAACATAAAAAGGAGCATTTAGGAATGGTTAGGTTTAATCAAAGAAAAAGGGAAAAATCAGAACTCTTCATTCAAACTTTACTTTTATGCCTTCAGGAATAAAATCCATTTATATCAAATTTGTGACCCCATGACCTCACAAAACCAGGTCATTTGCCTATGGTGCGGTAGTTTGTCACTGTTACGATCTGTCATTAGGTCAGAAACGATAGGCGATAGTACCCTCCTTGGTGCGTACTATTTATAAAGCCTGATGAACATGTTCATTATATGTTAATATCCACCTAGAAATCAGATGCTCATACCCCTTGCTTAATTGAGTAATTTATATAAACAAATACTAAAGTAATTAATTATTTATACATTAAAATCAACTATAATGGGTATAATTTGTGAAACCTGACCAACTAAATACTAATTAACACAGTACTTTAGGCATTTTAACCTCGGAAGGTCCATGTGACCATGAATATTGTCTGTCAGATTTTTTTCTTTTCTTTATTTCATATATGACTATACTTCATAAAGATTACTACTAATTAATTTAACCCATACTGGTAATTTCATTGTCTTGTGTTGGCTAACCCAAGGGGTGAAACCAGATATGGCACCTACAAAAATTCGAAGAAGTTAGTTGCTTCCCTAGCTGGACTCTGGGACTCTCAGACCCCCAGATTGAACGCGCACTGTATATACAGGGTGAATTGCTACTCGTGCTACAAACTTCTCCAGTAGATTCTTCACCCTAAAATGAACAAAAAAGTTCATATTGTCCATGGTCCGATTCTCAACCATTTCAGAGTAATTTCGCTTTTTATCGATTTTGAAAGATATCACGTCCTGGCGTCGGAAAATCGTGATATCTTTTAATCTAAACATTTCTCTTAAAATCTATAAGCACCGTTGAAATCCCCGTTAATTTTTAGAGAGAATCAAAATCATAATTCCATTGAAATTTTTTAATTTAATTTAATGCCCATTTAGTATGTAATGCTTAAGAAGTTTACAAACAGCTAGAAGGTCAAGGAAGAAAGACCCAAACGTTTTGCCACCTTCATCTTCTTATTGAAAAATTAACGGGGATTTCAACGGTGCTTATAGATTTTAAGAGAAATGTTTAGATTAAAAGATATCACGATTTTCCGACGCCAGGACGTGATATCTTTCAAAATCGATAAAAAGCGAAATTACTCTGAAATGGTTGAGAATCGGACCATGGTCAATATGAACTTTTTTGTTCATTTTAGGGTCAAGAATCTACTGGTGAAGTTTGTAGCACGAGTAGCAAGTCACTCTCAAACATTAGCAATCCTTGAACCACCATTTTTTCTCTTTTTGTCATCAACATCTTGGTCTCACAACCACTAAATAAGAAAATGACGAGTGCGTTGGAAGCGTTATTAAATCAGGTAGTTTTCCTCAAATTTGCTGCCTTCTGAGACTAAAATTAGAAACTCTGGATTACTTTATACACTTTCCGATTTACACAATTTTCCACTCTTTTTGTAGTTCTGGCTGAAATAAAACACAAAAAATTAGCCCAAACATTTTGCCACCGTCATCTTCTTATTGAAAAATTAACGGGAATTTCAACGGTGCTATTAGATTTTCAGAGAAATGTTTAGATTAAAAGATATCACGATTTTCCGACGCCAGGACGTGATATCTTTCAAAATCGATAAAAAGCGAAATTACTCTGAAATGGTTGAGAATCGGACCATGGACAATATGAACTTTTTTGTTCATTTTAGGGTGAAGAATCTACTGGAGAAGTTTGTAGCACGAGTAGCAATTCACCCTGTATATGGACACTATGGAATAATCTACATTGTTTTTTAGGGTCTATTTTAGTTTTCTACATTTTCGATGTGATTATCTATTCTCTTGGTATGTGCAGAGACAATGAACCAATCTGATCCTTCACGACAACCAGCAAGACTTATACAAGGGAAAGTCCAGATTTTTCCCAATGAATTTTAAAGTAGCTGAATGAACTCAGTGAGGAAGAAGCTGGTTTTAGTGATATTTGACCGAAACAACTATGCCTACCTGCCTTTGATTTAGTGACATTTGTGGTTATAGGAAAGATGTAAAAAACTAAGACATTCTTTTATCTATTACAAGTATAGGGTTCAATTTTAGTAGTCAAAAGACTGATATGAATGATAGAGCTAAGCTGAGCATATGAACATGGTAAATGAAAAAATTATTTTAGAAATTTATTTTAATTTTAATAAAAGTATTTTTCTGGAATATTTTAATCTTGAATTCTTTATCAGACCCTCCAAATATCTCAGCATAATAAATGTAAAAGTAAATTACACTGAATACTGAAAAATAGTGGTTAGAAAAAAACTGGTAGTGGGTCTGTCAGATGCATGACAGAACAAACCAATGTACAAAGTATGAGGGAATGGTACAAGTTAATTAAGAAACAATTAAAGTTTTCTAAATCAAGTTTGATTAATAGAAGATATGAGATGGTTAATGATGGTTATTAAATCAACATTTTATTTTTGATTATCACTTGATTATTGTTTATTTTTAATAACAATACAACAAATGTAAATATGTCTAAAACATATATTTTACTTTATGATAAAGTATAAAATTAGTCACAATCTTCAGAATTGTACAATTAATACTTTTTTCTGACAGTTTAGAAATGACTGTGAGGCTTTCTTATTTCAACATGACTGGCCTTGGAGAGCCAATCAGACTCTTGCTGTCGTACGGAAATATCAAATTTGAGGATCGAAGGGTGTCCAAGGAAGATTGGCCCGAAATGAAAAGAGGTTATTCAGGCTTTTGAATTATGCAAAAGCCCTCTTTTAACGATTTATATTCATAGGAATGAGATGGAACCAACTGCCAAAATTAGAAATCGAAGGAAGGGAGCTATCACAGTCGAAGACAATCTGTCGATATCTGGCGAAGAAGCTCAACCTCTGCGGGAAGAATGAATGGGATGCGACTTACTGCGATATGATGGTCGACATGCTTGATGACTTTAGATCAAGTATTTTTAACTTTAAAATTACCGAATTTTTTGAAATTTATCTCTCAAAGAAAAAAATTGAAAAATTCAAATATAAATACAGATTGTACGTATATGTGACTTATGTGTTTGTTAATAATACGTGTTGTTTACAGGGATTGTAACAGTTTATTACACACCTGACAGTGAACAAAGAGAAAAGGAACTTGAGAAATTGAGATTGGACTTCGTCCCAACAGCACTGGCCAAATTTGAAGAGCAAGTTGCAGAAAATGGAGGATTCTTTGTAGGAGGGAAGGTATAAAGTTTATATTCTTCTTGTTCTCTTTTTATCTTTACCTACTTGATGATTATGAATATTGATACTAGGAAGTTGAGGTTTTTTATTCCCCAAACACTATGGTCTTCTGGCCTTCTGGCTTATTATACTTTCCTACTATCTTAGTTCAGTACAATCGACTCAAACTTTTTTCAAGACTTTTTTTTTTTTTTTTTTTTTTTTGTATCCCAGGTTATCTCTCCATTGAGCACTTCACATTAGAAAATGATATGGGTGGCTGTTTTTCCCTAGGATGAACCCATTTGTAGATTATACAATGAGGAGGAATAAACAGCCACACATATCATCTATGAATACAAAGCAACCGGTCAATAGAAATGACGGCCAACGACCTGCAGTGCTTCTTAGAATGTTTGAGTCAATTACAGTGAAATAAGGAACTGTGGAAGAACAAGCCAGATTGCAGTGCCTGGACAAACAAAAAACCCTACTTCCTAATATGTAGATTCACCATCATCATCATCTTTATCACATATAATGATAATAGATAAATATAACGGATTATCCACATTCAAACTGTTAGGGGAATAATAATTTTATGCAATAATAAATAATGTTTCTTGATAGTGTACGTTTTTTCAGCACTAACTCCTAAAGGGGCTTCTTTATTTGTACAAAATTATAAAATGTAATAAATGTCACAGACAATAATTTTATTATGTTTTTCTATTTTGTATAGCTCACATGGCCTGACATTGTGTTTCTGGCATTCACTGACTACGCTGGCCAGATGTTGAAATGCGACGTGGTGTCGAACTTCCCGAAACTGTCTGCTCTGTGTAACTATGTCATGTCACAGCCAGGGATCAGCAGATATTTTAAAACAAGACCTCCCCAACCGGAAGACATGAGGAAGATTTTCGCCTACTAAACAATTGAAACCAAATGGTCTCTTAGGCCTAGTACACACTTGCATACAAAGTTGAACGATTTTGGTATCTAGACAATATCTATAAGCAATCAAGCTATCTATAAACAATCGACAAGCTTTTGAACAAAATCGCAGAACTTTTAACCCCCATATGAAATGGGATACAGAAGACAATTCTTATTCAATTTTAGCAACTTATGAGGAACATGACACTCAAGTATGTACAGTCAAAGCCTTTAGACTGTCTAAATACATTGTCTGTCTACTTCTCTGTAGACAGTCCCTACACATGTCTCTAGACAAGTTGTATTGCCTTCCTCATCCCATTCCGGTGGTCCTGGCTCCTCCTACCATTTTCCACCAGTGAAATTATTAGTCTCCTTCCTCATCTTCCACTTATTCGACTACAGCTGTGTTGCATATGGTGGGCTTCCAGGGAAGCAAAATAAACTCCAAAAAAGATTAATGAACTGTTGTGTCAGGCTTATATTCGGCATCCCCCGAGGGTCCAGGGTGTCACAGCTTTACTTGGACCTATCGTGGCTCTACCCTCTTCCCAAAATTTATATTTTTTTGGTTCCTTTCTTTACCAAGCCATTAACACCCATCGTCCGCATTGGATGCTGAATAATGGAGGACATTATTCAGTCCAACCGATTCAAGTCCTCTTTCCACCCCCGCAAAACCTGCTCATCTCCCTCCTTCAATCCTAATGACCCAAAACATGCACCGGTTTTTCCTTGTTCGAGCATTAAAATTCTAGAACTCCCTCCCTCTAACTATCCGCAAAGCCACTTCCCTTACCTCTTTTTAACATCTCCTATACATGCACCTCCTCCCCCTCCAAATAGAGTCTGTTTAACTACAGTTTAAATTTACTTAGCAATTATTAATTTCTATACGTATTTTTTAGTGACTTGTTGTTTCATAAGTTGATGAAGTCGTGATTTGCGGTCAAGAATGAGGTAGTTTAGAAAAACACCTTTTCCATTTTTTGGCATCATGTCTTCCTTTATTCACGCCATCTTCAGGGCATAAACTGTGGGCTAGTCTTGTGGTATCATGTTGTTTTGTGTGAAAGTCTGTGAAGTTTACAACACTTTCATCCAAAACCAATATGACACCACAAGACTAGCACCACACTTTATGCCCTGAAGATGACCCGAATAAAGATCGACATGCCGGCAAAAAAATGAAAAAGATGTTTTCTAAACTACCTCATTCTTGACCACTCCTCACGACTTTAACAAATTATTTTCTATGTTAATTTTCAAATTAACTCATTCAGTTTAAACCCCTTTGTGTTTTGTATTTTACAGGTATATTCTATTACTTTGATCACCACAGCAAGTTTTATTTTTGTGTCAAAATGTTAGTCACTCTTACTTTTAACCCAATGATTCCCAAACTATGCACTGCGGCATGCTAAAGCGCCAAGAAAATTTTCTATATAAAAGATTATTATTATTTTCATATTTATAAACACCTAAAAATTATACCCCTTCATTATAAAACCGTAACAACTAAGACCCTGGTGGCCATCCGATCTCAATATGGATTTTAACATCTGGAATTATGTATTTTATATTATTGTCCAAAAACAGTGTTCACTTTTATATTTTTGCTATTAAGTTATTCTTCTTCTACACATGTCTCTAGACAATCACTTGACAACTGCTTCTACGCAAGCGTGTACAAGGCCTAAGAATAGGAGTGTAGAATGGAGTGAGCTGAAAATTCTCAATAATCAAGCAGTCTTCTAATTTTTATACAAATAAGACCAAAAATGTTTCCAATGTTAATTTTATAATTATTTTTATATTTATAAAAAAAGCACAAAACTAAGATTCTGGTGGCCATTCAATCTCAATATGGATTTTAACAAGAGAGCCATAATTATGTATTTTATATTATTGTCCAAAAAAATTAACTTTTATATTTTTGCTATTAAGTGCATAATTGCTTTTCAAAATGCAAGTTTCGCAATAGACAAGAAAGTTAGGAATTTTGATTATTTATTAAATAAAATTGTTGACAAAATAAGAGGTTTAGAGATCAATTGGAAATGAATTATGATGCTCACACTGTGGTAGACCTTTATTGACTTGGGACACTGCGGAAAATTCCTGGTATTTCAAAGGCGCCAGAAACAGAAAAAGTTCAGGAACTGCAGCTTTAACCTACTGTCCAAGAATAAATGATTTTTTCTTCTAATTTCTTCTTCTATACATGTCTCTAGACAATCACTCAACTTTGTATGTATGTGGAAGGTCTAAGAATGAGAGCGCAGACAAGAGCGAGCTGTATATTTTCAATAATTAAGCATTCTTCCAATTTTTAGACAAATAAGATCAAAAATGTTTCCAATATGAATTTTATAATTTTAAAAATATTAATCTTATATACTAGTGTGTATTCAAGACTTCTCTGTAGGGTGTGAAGTGTTTTTTGATCATCTCCCAGTAACATTTTTAATTAAAGTCGTTGATAGAAAAAATCATTACCTTGATTCCTCAAATTAGGTGGCGTGTAGACAATAAAGTTGCTCGTCAAGAAATCCTGGCCCGTTTTGGTCGAATTGGTTAAAAAAAGTAACTTTCCGTCGTAAAAAAGCCGGTGAAGTTAAAAAGCAGACTTTTCGACGCCATGTTGCTACTGGGAATGACACTGCTAGAAAAACGGCGCGAAAATTGGTTAAACTGTGTCGTAAAGATTATCAAGAAGGCGTACCTTGAAGTGACTAACGTGTATAAAAATTTAATTTCGATAAAAATAACTAATTATTACCAGAAACTATTAGGAAATTTTAAAAAGGGTTAAGTTTGGTTAAAGTTTTTTGTAATATTGTGAAAGACTTTAGAAAATTTATACAGCGAGATCTCGGTAGACGATTGGGTTATCACTGTAAAACACTTGTGAAGCTGAACCCACCCCGCCATTCTCACTGCAGAATTATATCGTGCTTTTAATTTGTATGAATATTTAATACTTGATAAAGCATAAAAGAACAAAGCCCCGGGAATGGACAGAATGACCTATGCGTTTTTTAAGAAGAAAACGTCTTCTGAATATTTGGAACACCTCAACCAGGTATTCAATGAAATCTATTTTTCAGAAAATGTTCCTACTAGTTTTAAGGGGTCTATAATTTTTCCCCTATTTAAAAAGTGATCGAAATATCGCACACTCAAGAAAAGTGACGCAAGTCGAAAATTTCTAAAAACTGGATTATTTAGTGTTTTTTTTTAAGTATTTGGTTTTTTTCCTCAATTCAGTAACCTTGAACTGAGGCCGTTTATTCTTCTTCTGTTCCCTAGAAAGATTACAGAATGTTCATACTTATTTGCAATATAAATGAGGCTGTTCAGGCTGCCCCAGTACACCCCCCACAGCATACCTCTATGGTGAGACAAGTCTGGCAATTTTTCTCTATGCTATAAATTCAGAATTTTATCCTTACCCGATAGTAGACTCTTGAAGATGCATGCCAAGCAAATTTTAGATAAAGAAATGTATTGACTTAAGGAAATAAAAATGCATATGATCGTTTAACTTGGACTTGTCCTTAGACGGGAACATTGGTAGAGTTGAACTGATGGTTTGAGGGTAGATGGACCAGATTCAGTACCATTGTGACAATAGAAAGAGGCAACATTGCACAGCTATGGCCGATTCAGACAGTTTCCCACTCCATAGAGTGCTTCTATTCCAATCCCCAAATTATGTAGTAGATCTTTCATTATCCTTTGATAGCATGCAGTGGATGAGTAAGTGTCAGGGGATCTGTTTAGCTTAAATTACAAACACTTCCAACAGCAGGACATTAAGGCCTCTTTCAGATGGGGGTGGTTCATTGATTCAAATAGTTGAATGGACGGGTGTCAAGGAGTGAAACCAGGTAGCATGTTTGGGAATCGCCCCAACCCGTTCACAGTCAACACGTCCACCCAGGTGGGTGGCCAGCACGTTCACATTCTCATCCCTCTGGTTGACTCAACACAAAAGACACTGCTTCGCATTCGTCCTTCACACCAGTCACCTAGTTGAGTCAATTGAGTTCGCTGTGTAAAGCGTTGCAATGTGGAGCAGTTCATTGAAGAAATTCGTATTAGTCCTGCGATGTGGGACAAGAGGTGTGAGGAGTATAGCGATAAAATTTGCTCAAAGAAGCGAACCTTGGAGGGAAGTAGCACAACAGTATTTGATGGAAAGCGACCATTTCCCAATTTTGGCCAATCTTTACTGCAATTCTTCCTTTGTTGTTTCTCTTTTAGCAGAAAAGCAAGCACAAGAAGTACTCTTGCTTCTTCGAGTTCTAACATCGTACTGACCTCCCGTTGGGAAGAGAGATTGATTCCACAACTTGCCTGGTGTGAAATCAAAGAAAGAATCTTTACCTTGCTAAACTAGTTGAGAGTCAACCGGCAACTTGAATCAACCAAACTGTCTTGCTGAAAAAGGCCTAAATGTGAACTTGGTAGTGGTACAAAGTGGCAGGATTTGTTCTATCCAATAATATCATGCATATTTCATCTTGCACCCTTCCAAGTAATCCTCAGTGTCAATGGCCTCGTGATCTCCTAATTGACAGTGAATATGATTGCTGCTAATATCTAGGAGTGTCTTCCATTTCAGGAATATTTTTGTGTTCATTTTGTTTCGTTTTATGCTGTACAATGCTGTCAAATTTATTTAAGCACAACAATTGATGCAGGTGAAAGTAAATAAAGAAGTGAGAGAGAAGTATCGACCACTTTTTCACTCACCAACACTCTGGCTCAGTGTATGGTCTTGAAGAAAAAAGCAAATTCAGTTGTTACTACCAGCTTTCGACTTATTTTAAGGTCATCATCAGAGCCTATATTAATTTCACATTATGAACAACAATTGTTAAATTAATTGTATAAATATGTTTTTCATAATGTGAATTTAATATAGATGCTGATGATGACCTTAAAAGAGGTCAAATGCTTGGCAGTAACAACTAAAATAGCTTTTTTCTTCAAGACCAAACCTTGATCCAGAGTTGGTGAATTATTTTAATTTCATTTCTTTTATTTTAATCACATTTTTATTATGATATTGTTTTTGCATATTTTTTACGTTGTATTTTAACTTTTTTATTATTATATTATTTTATAAATTCCTCAATTTTTTAAAAATGTTTTAATTACATTATGTTTAATAATCTATAAAACCTTTATCTTGATAGTTAATTTCGTATTTTAAATATCTAATTAGCCTTAACTCCAGAAGGAAATCACATTAGTTTGAGACAAAAATAATCTTACAATTATTAAAACTTACTACATGGAAATTAATACACTTACAGTCACTCGTTGACCACCATTATCACAAGAGCAAACAAACTAGCTTAGTTAAGTAGTAGTAACTTAAACTGAACAGTTACTGAGAGCCAATATATGCGAGAAAAGTGTCACAACTCAAAAAGTGGTAGTTTTTAGGGGTAGTACAGGTGGATTTTTAAAGTTTTGTGTTTTTGTTTAAGTCTTGGATAAACGAAAGTCATTATTGATGGATCATGACAGTTTTTATTGCCAACAACCATAATGGCATGTACTTAAAATACACAAGTCAAAAAAAGGAAACTTCTATCTGTCTCCTGTAAAATTTTCTTTTGTTGCATTGTGTCACTTTTCTTGTGAGTGTGAGGCTAAAACCTACCGTGGATTACCCTTTTTGAACTGCACAGGCAAACCGTTCTGTGGACTTTTCCAATAAT